CTTTCACTCTCATGTTGGTAATAATGTATTGGTCACGTTTCCAAAATGTCTATGCGCAGCCGTATAGCACCTACAAATTCTCTGCGTTGTTCTGTAACGATGCAGGTTACCATATTAGATAAAGACCACTCATTTACCACATCTTTCAACTTTCCGCTAGATTTTCCAGAAGTGTGCGCTTTATCGTACTTTACAGCAACCAAGCAGAAACGATTTCAAATCATTATCGCATATGTAATGCGCGGTGACAGTGAGGTGCTGGGCATATGCGCACTTCAGGAATTGTTGATATTGCGGATTCAAAACAATAATAACCTTTATTATAGCAATTGATTTACAACAAAAATGATTTTACAACAAGCGTCTAACGATGAAAAAACTAACTAACTTATATCTTAATAGGAACCATCCTTTAAACATCGGCCGTGAAGGGTAAAACGTTTCCTGATACTGCACAGCGCACCCATACTCATAATGAGTACACATGTGCGGTGTCAGATAACTGTGTGAAAAAGGACCGGTCACTTTCAGTCCTGTACAAAAGGGATAATTTTAAGCGAACACAGTTTCACTTTTTAGAAAGCGGAAAGTAAAAGTTCTCGCTACAACACCAATAAAACTTTCGTTTTACAGGAATTATTATAATGATTTTTTTGTTTTGTTTTCTTCTTTCCTAATAGCGTTGGCTATTGTGCCCATCAATAGCTATGTTGGTATTTATGAATTACATACTATCCCTAGATTTCCAATGTGCGTGTGTGATTTTTTTTTCTTTTTTAGAACTACATAACTTCACCAGACACAGACACTAATCGTTACTTGATTTTAATCCGTGCGATTAGTTAACCAGGCTAGACCTGAGTTCTCACAAGAAACACCGACCATAATAATAATGTTTATTTCAAATGAACACATTCAGTGCGATATGAGCTTGAACTAACATGGTATATGGACAAATACATAAGCACTCACACGCAAATCACTCCTCAGAACTTCCTAAACCAAAAATGTATGTTCAATACAGAAGCCCCTTAAGCCATAATAGAGAGTTGATCATCTAACAAAAGGATCTTTACTTGTCTTTTAAACATAGTCATACTTAAACTTCGTAAAGTTGAAAGTTGGTGACAATTTATTAAAGATGTTTGCAACATTATAAGGAAACGATTTTTTAAAGAATTCGCTAGTATGCATTGGAACCTCTAAAAGGCCCCTATTCCGAAGATTTAAGTTATGCACATCTGTACGATAGGTTAAACGTTGTGCTAAGTAGGAAGGGGTTAAAGTATTTATTACTTTGTGATATAGTACCACAGCATGAATCAATCTCCTTTCCATCATATTTAGCCACCCAGCTTCCCTCACTTTATGAGATATATGATCTGTACGTCTGATATATATATATATATAATCTCTGAGATCTGGTGGGGAAGAAGACAATTAGGCGGGGCGAAATCAAAAGGAAATTCTGGGGGAAATATTACCATTATACGGGATTTTCCCTACTTGATTTCGTCTCCCCACAGTTCGAATTGTAAATGTTGTAAAGTTGTTATTGTTATCGTCAACAAAAAATCGAGAAATAAGCTTCCAATGAATCACCGGCACCAAAATGGATCATATTAATACCTACGAGCTTTTTAGCAGAAACATCGTTTTGTTTATCATAATCAAAACTTCACGCAAGTGTGTGTACTCACTCAACTCACCTGTACTCTACCTATACCTACCTAAAAGCAATATAGGATTTGTTTAAAATAAATAACAATTCATTTGGGTTATGAGTTCATCACATCACAATGATATGAAAGAAGTGCCCTGCCCTGTAATTTAATTTTCATTCGAAAAAGTGGCATAAACGCTTTAAACGAATGTATAATTTCTTTTAGGTGTACGGCGAACTGCTGCTTCTTTTACGCCTGATCATTTGAATTGATTTTTACCTTTTAGTTTGGTGGGAACTTTCAAAATTTTAAGCTTATTTTGGGGATCTTGCGAGTGATTAGAAGTAGGTGTACACACTAAATCTATTCGGTTATCGTCACAATTAGATACCTCTTCCTGCTCTGGGTCCTTTCTAAAATCTGGTATAATAATATCTTCCTCGTCACTCTCGTCTTGGGAACCTTCGTATTTTGGCAATATCATCGGCATTTATTAGGTCGAAATATTGTTTTTGGGAAGCCATTTCGTCTTCTTAAAAAAGATTAATTGAAAAACAACACGGATTGCGAAATTATAATAATAAATTTAATAGTTTAGCAAGAATATAAGTTTACATACCAACACAAAAAAAGATCCTATTCTGTTACACTGGAGTACACCTATACCCCGGATCTCAAATATCCCAACGATTCAAAATGCACAACGCGTCACCAATATCACTATTGCCGTTTGGCGCAACGTGCACACGCAAACAAGCGTACCCCGCGTAGCATTCCAGGGTTAAAGCAGTGCCTAGGAATTAGATATAAAGAGCGAAACAATGGCCCGTATGAATAAAAGTAAGCAAATGCTTATACTTGCAAATTTCAAAGTAAATACTCGTAAGTGCTCCTTCCCACTGGGCGACTTAGAAGCGCTGCTGAGCAGCAGGACAGGACGCAGTGCAGTGCTGCTAAACAGACCAGCATGAAGGGGCAGTTACGAGTATTTACTTTGAATTTTGCAAGTATAATAAGCATTTGCTTATTTTTATTCATACGGGCCAATACTTGCCTACAAATGAAAAATAAATAAACCTCTCGCCAGGAAAGATTGCCGGTCCCGGTCTACAATCTATGTTTTTCTAAAGATGTGAGCGACTTCCGGAATAGTATCGTTGAACAGAAAGACGTTCCGTTCAACATTGGCACGATTCTATTCCGGAAATCGCTCGCATCTTAAGAAAAACATAGACTGTAAATCGACACAAGGAGGTGTGCTGTGACCGGCAATCTTTCCTGGCGAGAGTTATAGCTTCCTGGCCAATACAATTTCGATCCTGGATATTGTCTGGCTTCTATCACTTCCATAGGAACATTCCCATCACTGTAACTTAGTTTATTATATCTACTTTCACAGCCTTTAGTTTTATTAATCATTTTTTTCCCTATCAAAATACGCTACTGTGGAAGAAGCTACCGGACTCCTTTTATAGGCAATGGCGGAAACAGGCACCTCAACAGTAACTGCGTGTACTAGTGGCTCAACACCAGAAAGGTCTTGATTTAATAGAAATGATTTTAGGTTGTCTAGAACACCAGTGGTGAAATTTTCTTCACAGTTCGCTGATGGTGAATGCGAAGACATAAATTTCTACCGGCGATTTAAAAGAAGCAATAAAATGGGGCACATTGGGAGAGACATTGCGACGTCCGTAGCTTCTTATCGCTGCAAAAGTTTTCAACAGAATCTTGATTAAACGCCCTTGGAAGAAAATATTCCATTCGTAGCACTAATTTGGATCGAAGGTAAAGAAAACCTTTCAAAGCTATACCTAATATTCATGATAATGTAAGAAATAACATATTTAATCAAAACGTTAAAACATTTCTAGGAAATTATGCACTTTTTAAACAGATCGACCTGTACCTACATAATTCAAAATATTATTTTAAAGAATGTTAGTTACATTTCGATTACTTACTCCACTGGGATATACGCTTCATAAGTGAGCCAACATTCCAGCTAAATACTTGTGTCATTAGTGAATCTTTCATTTTATTCAGATCATTTTGGGTAAATCTTGCATTATATTTAATCAAGTTATTGCGGATCCCTTTAAATATATGCGGCACATCGTACAATGGGAGAACCTCCTGCTTCTTTATCAGAAATGCATGATATCGATTCTCTATGCCTTGTGCTTGTAAATGTTTTGCAGTATCCCATAATAGGCTATTTATTGCAGCTCTATTTGCAGCCCCTTGATCGCAAATTGTTGCGATTGCTTCTACTCCAATTGCTTGACACTCTTCAATTATCTTCTTAATCGTGGTCTTTAATAGAACTGATTTAATAGGTCCAGAACTAAATGTAAATCCCAATGGTTGTTTCCACTGTCGATAGAGGCCCTTCAACATGAAGACATTGGCATGTGTAGCGATTCGAGGTGATCGATGCTCACAATGTTCAAGTCCATCTACACATTTAAGACTGGAATTGTACGCACCAGAGGGAGATATAGCCATTTCATCAAAGACTAAAGCAGCGATCTTCTGATTTCTTTCCATGCTTGCCAGAACACATTCCAAACTTCTAAATAGTTGTTCATTTATGCCCGGGCGCAATGGTAATTTATTTAGTAGGTACATTTAATAGTGTTTTCCGTGATGGCATGCTGAATATTTTAGATAATAATCGGAACACTTTGGGACCCGCTTTCAGCAAGTTTAAAGCAAATATTTTTTCATCTAATGAAAATCGTCGACCATGGGGTGGTTGCTTCTGGGTTCTAACTTGTTGGAGTATAAACATTTCGGTAGTTTTATTTACAGTTTCGAAAAATTGTGTGTGAGTTTATCATTACCTCAGCATTGCGTAGCCTTGTTAAAATCGTTAATTTTAGACTGCATTTTAGCAGTTTTGACTATTTCACGTATCTGCATATTGTACAGTTTTTTACACCGTGGTGAAAATCACTTGGTTCGAGTTACATTAATGTGTTCTAAAATGCCTCGTTTTTTTTAATACCTGTAAGAGTTTGGTTAAATTTATGATCCACATTTTACTTTAGAAATACTTACATAACGGTAGTGATTGAATCTGTTGTGGATGTGTCGATGGTATATTTTCCGGTGACTGTTGTAATGGTAAATCCAAATTAGCAGTTATCAAGTTCTCAGGGATAGGTATAACTAAAAGTATGATGAAAATGGTTGGTATTCCTCACAATGGGGTAGTTCGATCAGGAATGGTAAATACACGAAATCGCCCCACCTCGTTCCATTATCATAATGGAACGTGGTGCGTTCCGAAACGTGTCGTGTCTTTTCATCAGTACTACCTGTCAACTCCCATATAGCACACTATGTACATAGTACGTACATTATTCGTACATTTTACGTACGTTCGTCCATGTACAAAACATGTACGTACTGCGTACGTACAGTAACGGACGAAAATTGAGAAGTTAGCAAGTACGTACATAGTACGAACAATGTACAAACATGTTTGCAGTTACACCTGAACGTGCGCATTACTGGTTTTAGTGCGCATGCACTACATGCAGCTGTGTGAATAGTGAATGATTTGTTAATGGCGTCTTTTATTTGGTTTGCATAAACATTTGTTATCTTGGTTAAAGTTAAAAGTGTTATTCAGTGTTGGTGTTGTGACTTGGGATAGTTTTATTGGTGCGTATATCTTAAAATCATTTGTGTATACAAGTGGTAAATTCTTCATTTTCTGTTTTAAATACACATACAAAAGGCAGATTATAACCTATAATTGTGCATGTGGAATCATCTGCGTTCCCCTCTTTTATTATAGTAGGTAGTTAACAATTTGCTTAAAATTGCAAGTGTAGAAAAATGCCTAAATATAAATTATCCCGTACACATTACAGACATGCTCAACAATTGTCGAATGATACAATTGAACTCATAAACCGAACTGTAATTGAAACTGTACCAACTTCGGTAGCGACAAGTAATGAAACAACCGAATCTGCACAATCTACACCTATAATTGGAGATGATACGGTTAGTGAGTATGAATCAGAATCAGATTCTATTGACGATTTAGATGTCGACGATGAGTTTCGTAGTACAACCCCCAGTAGAGATGAGAATCCAGTTAATTCCACCGAAGGTTTAAATCCGAGTAATTATTCTTCACAAACAACTTTTGCTTCGTTACTTGCAGACTGGGGTGTCACATATCATATTGAACATATTGCTTTAAATAGTTTGTTACGCTTGCTTCGTCAACATTTCGATAACAATCTACCTGCTGATGCACGAACGCTATTAAAAACTCCTAGAAGGACTGATTTACAAGAAATTTTTCCTGGTAAATTTTTCTATTTTGGTCTCGATTCTGCAGTCAATAAAATTCTTGACAAATATGAACTTAGCGATAATATAGATGTAATTAAAATTGGTGTCAATGTAGATGGACTTCCATTAAGCAAAAGTTCCGGTAGTCAGTTGTACCCCATCATATGTAATCTATGGGAGAATCCCTCCGTCGTCGAAATGATCGGTTTATATCATGGATACGAAAAGCCCTCTGATCCAAACATTTTCATGCAAGATTTTATAAATGATGCGGTTTTGTTTACGAATAACGGTTTTATGTATAAGAATCGTACTATTCCATTTAGGGTAAATGCTATCATCTGTGATGTTCCAGCAAAATCGTTTATAACGTTTACAAAAGGACATAGTGGGTATAATTCTTGCTCAAAATGTCACATAGAGGGAGAATACGTTAACAATCGTGTGTGTTTTTACAACTCTTCAAATGTTAGAAGCAGGTGTGATACTGATTTTCGACAGAAACTTGATGAAGAACATCACACAGGTACTTCGATATTAGAAATTTTGCCAAACTTTGACATGATACGTAACATCCCATTGGATTACATGCATCTTATCTGTTTAGGTGTGATGCGAAAACTATTACTTTTATGGGTTTTTGGGAAACCAAATTCAAAGTTAGCACATATTCAAGTATCACGCATATCAAACTATTTAGTTGAGTTGTCTAAAAATATCCCCTGTGAGTTCGTTCGCAAACCTCGCTCGTTGGATGATCTCAAACGGTTTAAAGCTACCGAGTTTCGACAAATTTTAATGTACACAGGGCCACTTGTATTCAAAACTACCTTGTCGAAGGATCGTTATGCCAATTTCTTAAGCCTTCATGTTGCTATGAGGATTTTTTCAAATGAAAGCCACTTGGCAGAACATGGAGATTACGCTCATGATTTACTAAAGTATTTCATAGATACCTTTGTGATTTTGTATGGGAAGGAAAATGTGTCACATAATGTGCATAATCTTTTGCATCTGCGGGAAGATTGCAAAAATTTTGGCGTGTTACAAAACTTTTCAGGATTTCCATTTGAAAATTACTTACAGTCATTGAAATTACTAATTCGCAAAGGTAGCGACCCTTTACCACAAATTATTAAAAGAATAATAGAAAAAGATTGTCGTCACACTGATGCAAAAAAATATCATCAAGTATCAACTACTACACCTAAACCAAATAAATTACACAATAATGGACCTTTACTAAATCATAATCGAACTCGTAACATTTTATATCAATATAAAGAATTGTGTTTTGAAAAGTTTACAGTCAAACTAACTGAAAGTGATAGCTGCTGTGGATTAACGGACGGAAACATAATATGCATAAAAAATATTGTAACAAATGCTGATAATGAATTGTATGTAATTGCACAAAAATTTAATTTAAAAACAAACTTATACTTTCAACCACTTCCATCATCTGCACTGAATATTTATATTGTAAATGATTTAGGTCCTTTAGAAGTATGGAGTGTTGATGAGATCACATGCAAATATGTTAAAATGAGATATAATGATAGGTTTGTTGTAGTACCTTTACTACATTGCTAGCAAAACATCTAGGTATAAAGTTCTCTATTGCGATCTATTTTGTTACAAGCTGTTGTATTAGTTTTTCTGTGTAACTTATTCAATGTTTTTAGAAACCTAGTAGCAAATGAGCAAAATTAGTACGCGAGCGAGTTTTAAACTTGTACAACGAGCATAGGTACAAGTTTTGCTCACTTGAAATCAAATTCTGCAATTAGTATGTGCAAGCTATATTATGTATGTGTATTTAATATACCTAGGTAAACAATTCAGATACCTTGATTTCTGAAATATATGCATGTCGTATATTAGAAATAGTGATTATCAATTAATAGTTGCTTTATCGGGGTAAGTGCATCTTGTATAAATTTCATGTTTACTAAAAATAGTAGTTCAGACATTGTCAAATGCATGTATATTATTAAGAATTATTTTGTGGCAGTGTGACTAATATGGATAAGGTTGTGGATAATCAGCAGAATAAAACATGGTCCGTTATAAAATTTCCGGACGAGAAATCAGTTTCTGCTGTTCCATCTTCGTGGATCGTAGGAAAAAAATGTTACTGGCCCCCTTATAGTGAGAAAGCACTTCGAGCAGCGATCGAAAATAATGAAAGCCCAAATTTCCAAGTTTGGCAATCATATACATTTGAGAGCTTTCGAAACAATGTGTTTGGTGAGTATAAATATTTTTCTCTCGATCTTTCTCTTATCTTATAATATTTGAAGATACTTTTAAAGAAGCAGACAAAAAGTCCCTAAAAGCCACGAAAACTTCTGACCTAGAATCTGGTTGTGAGACAAAGTCATACACTTTTTCCTCAAAAAAAAGAAAAATTTTTCGAAAAACTGTCAGCTTTTCTTCGGTGGAAGAGGAAGGTGAAGAAGAGGAAGGTGATGAAGAAGAGGAAAGCGTTTTGCCAGACCCACCTTCATTCAAAAAACAACGTGAGTTCTACTTTATAAAATATAATTTATTTTATTATCTGTTACAGGCAGAGAATTACAACCAAATGTGGAAATAAATACCTTCGACCAAAATGAACTTCTGAAAAGTAAGTGATAGGTATTTTGTTTAACACTTTTATTGAGATTTATTCCTGATAAACGTATACTATATTGGGGTTTCAATGTAGGACAAGAGGAGCGACGAAAAAGAGATATACTGCCCCAAAGAAGTGAGAATTTATCCACTCCACGTGTCAGCGAGGAGAACAATGAAGAGTCTGATTCAAAAACAATTATTAGTGAGTTCAATATTTATAAGGTGTATATCTATATTTGTACTTTGTATCTAATTTTCTAGAATACCTTCAAAGTATAATTAGAAAACAGAACATTTTACACTCCACGTTACTGGATATAACTAATCGTTTATCAAATATTGAAAATAAGAATACTGTGCTACAAATAGAAAATAGTGAGTCTATTTTTATCACATTGGAAAATCTGCCTGTTAATACGGAAGAAGACTTAGCAGTACTAGAAGATCATTTAGGAGAAGGCATGGAGCATGCTGTGAGTGTAATTTTTATTAAAGTTCGTAGGCATAATAATTATTTTATTTTTTGATGATGGTTTTACTAATTTGTACATTTTGACACCACTACTCTCGGGACAATTGTGTTTTAAATTTAAGTAATAATAGCATAATATTTGTTCACATTTGAAGTATGGCTTCATAGTACAACTGACTATCAATTTTTAGATATAATTAGTGACATAATTCAAAATCATTTAAGATGAATATAATTTATTAAGTGATAATGTTGTAGGTTAACGAGTTATCCAATTTGGGTGGTGCCACAATATATGATTTTATATTTCGGGCCACTGAAAAGTTAATAACAAATAATTTCTGTGGCATCCACTACAGTTACGAGGGGAAAAGAAAGAAAAAGGCATTTCGTAACCTTAAATTGCATGAACTATTGATAAGTAAGTATTAGTTTCATTACATTCTCAAAATAATTTATATTTATATTCTGCAGAATCATCGCTCGCATTATTCAAAAATGTTACCATTAAGGACGTTGAGATAAGTATCCAAAAATGGATCAGACGGTGCTCAGAAAGAGCGAAGGCTACCAAACATAAGTAAAATATACGAAAAGGTGCCATTTGTAAATATTGAGTGTTGGTTGACTTTGTTTCATTTAAGAGTTATTGTTTGTTTTTATTTTAATATGTTTTAGGTATAATATACATTCCATATTATTAACATGCTGCATTCTTTCTATACCTACTTTTGCACTAAGGATTGAAATAAAAATAACAATAGAATTATTTCAAGGATTTATGCAACTACACTGCCATTGCCATTGCTTAAGTTTTTATTTCATTAAAATTCAAGTATAAAGAAGTGAAGGTGTCTCAATCTAAATTAATGATGATAAAGTAGGTTCTCATGAATCCCATATCTGATGGGCCAATGACGAAAAATTTTCTATTGGTTGAATAAGGGCAGTACATGTGGTTTTTGTATTTCTCACCCATTAGGAAAGGGGCCCTATGACCGTACGGTACCGGACGTACCTTGTACAAGTATGCTGTACGTACATTGTACATATATGTCGTACGTACACTGCACGTACATGTCCGTACGTACTTGTTTGGTACAATGTTGTGCCAAAGTAACGTACTATGTACGTACAATGTACGTCGGCGGTACATGGCTGTACGTATTATGTACGTACGTTTGTACAAAAATGTATGTTACATGGACGTACACAGTACGTACTTGTGCTATATGGG